TCATACGGAGTTGCAAATGAAGCCTGGGATTTGAATTTCCCGGGCTTCATTTGCATAAAGCCAGCTGGTGCCATTTTTAAATGCCGGCTAGTTCGGACTGCGTGCCGCGCGGCTACACGTGGCACGAACTAGCTAGTTCGGATTAGGCTTCCTAATCTGAACTAGCTGTACACCTCGTTCCAAGGTTCCACGAGGCGTACAGCCTAATCCAAACTAGCTAGTTCGTGCCGTGTGTAGCCGCGCGGCACGCAGTCCGAACTAGCCGGCATTTAAAAAAGGCGCCGGCCGGCTTTATGCAAATGAAGCCCGGGAAATTCAAATCCCGGGCTTCATTTGCAACTCCGTATGACTACATTAGCCCCCGTAGTTCGAACCCTAAGCAAGGTTCCACGAGGCGTACAGCCTAATCCAAACTAGCTAGTTCGTGCCGTGTGTAGCCGCGCGGCACGCAGTCCGAACTAGCCGGCATTTAAAAAAGGCGCCGGCCGGCTTTATGCAAATGAAGCCCGGGAAATTCAAATCCCGGGCTTCATTTGCAACTCCGTATGACTACATTAGCCCCCGTAGTTCGAACCCTAAGCACTTTAAATCAAATTTAAGAATGTACCCACAGAAAAATCTGCAATCTTTAAATGTTCATTTGTCTTATGGGGAAAATAACTTCCATTCACACTTAGTTCTTCCTTTGGTTTGTTTTAAACCTGTTATCCATTAATTTCATTTGGTGAACCCTAGTTCTTGTGTTATGGGAACTAGTAAATAACTTTTCTTTAATCACTTTCTCCATACCAGTCATGATTTTGAAGACCTTTATCATAGCCCCTCTTTAGTCTCCTCTTTTCTAAAATGAAAAGTGCCATTTTTTTAATTCTCTCCTCACTATTAGTTTACCATTTCCATATGGACATTAACATTAAGAGAAGACACAAAAGAAATTAAAAACAAGAACACTCATATTGGGTCAGACCAGAGGTCCATCTAGCTCAGTATCCTGTTTTCTGACAGTGGCCAATGCTAGCTGCCCCAGAGAGAATAAACAGAACAGGAATCATTGAGTGGCAGAGGTTAGGGACACTTAATCTTACCCTATATTCTTACCTAAAGAGGTTGCAACTACATTATTCTTACAATATGTGAAATGAGATGCATTAAAGGTGTAAAATAATAAAATAATCAGTGTAAGAAGTCTTGAGACGGTGTTTTTAATTTGTCTCAAAAATTTCCTCAACACTTAAGATTCAATGATTCTTTATGATGTGGTGGCACTTGAAAGCTTTAAAAAATGAAAGAAGTAGTTGAAAATAAGGTCCAGTAAATTAAATTAAGTTCAAAGTCCAAATACTGGAAAGTCAACTAAATAAAGGTGCAGATTAATTAAACAGATGGAGTACATATTGTAAAGTACATATTGTACTTTTTCATATCTTATGCACGTAATTATTTTTTTTATTGTACTAGAAAACTTTGAACTTGATTAATGAATGGAAAAATAAATAATGATCTCAGAGGAATAGTTAATATACCACTGCTTTTCCTCTGTGTTTTTCATACTACTACAGAAAGAAAATCTTGCCTCTGAATTGAAAAATATAAAGTTATCTGTATTTCTCTGGTGAAGCTAACAAGGTTCATTCACCTAAAACTGGTTTGTATTTTTTACAAAGGTAATGGTATAAAATCCATGCTGTGTGTCAGAAATGTGCGCTTCCTTCAGCCATCAATGAATGGCTCCAGAACCTCTCATTACAAAGTGGGTGGTTTATATGCAGAGGGCTCTATACAAAAAGGTGCATTCTCCTGTATAAGTCCTTCCTCCCACTGCCCATCTTGGTTCACCCAGGCCAGCTCACTCCTAAAGCACATAAGGGGCAGATGGCAATTGTGCTCCAAAGACTGGTCAATCTCTTCCAGAAAAGAGACATTTTCAATAAATTTTCGTACAAGTAAATGCTTGTCAATAGCTTTTCAAGTGTTGTACATTAAACTTGCATAAACAATGTCAAATCTTAATAAGAGTTCTGTTTTTCTCCTACATGTTAATATATAGGAGAGGCACTCTGATGGGTGTGCAACTCCCTACTGGGAGC